CTCCCCTTATCAATTGTAGGAAATCAGTATTTTATCAATTTTTGTAAAAAACTACATCCTGCTTATGAATTACCATCCCCAACCGGCCCATCATGTATAATCGCTACCTGGGGAACTGTATTTTTTAGTCTTACATCAATTTTTTTCCCTACGTGTATTGCAATTGTAAGTATATCTTTTATTAGCCAATCATTCAATCAATTAATTAATCAATTAATTACTTTTATATGAATTAAACAGAATCTGCAAATAATGTTCATTCATAGGTACAGGGGTAGACTTAAATTAGAAATGTTTTATTTCATAATTTTGATCGCTTTAGCCTCAATTCTATCATTAGCTCTGTTCGCTGATAACATGTATGGTTGGGATGTGCCTGAAGCGTAAGTTTTTACATCTAATCATTAATTTACATTTACTCTACAATATCATCATTAACTATATAATCTTTACTTCATAATAGGGTGTGCTGGTACCGTGACTCAGGTACAAAATTGAGTATTACATGGGGAGGCATTCATTTTACACTTGGGAAATAATTTGTATATTATACTGTATAATAACATTAATTTGTGTTGCAGTGACATTATACAAGAATCAATCAGTAAACACCAATATTAGTGGCAAAACAATTACAAGTAAACATGATAAGAATGTTTTAAGGAATAAGGCCATTATATCATTAGTGGTCAAAAGGGTTATATGGTATCCTGTTGTGCCTATAATAACTCAGGGACCAAATTTTTTATTTGAAACTGACATTTATGTCAACCAGAAAGTCAATTTTGTGTTTCAATACTGGCTACTGTCCTCTCATTTCAAGGTAATTAACTATAATGAAATTATGATTTAACAATTTATTATTAAATATTTAATGATTTTTTTTCTTTAGGTTTTCTCAATACCATAGTTTTTATGCAAGATATCACAGTTTCTAGAGCATATAGATTAACAAAATTAAACTGGTGGTATAATCACGTTAATAAATACGAAGAGTCATATCCCCATTTATCACGTAATAAAGCATTAGATCCATTAGAATCGGTTGATCGGGTTGATCATGAATTAAAAGATGAAAATCAGAAACAAAGTCAGCAACAACCTTCCGTTGCCGAAAAATTACGATATAATTTGTTAACCTTATTATTTAGTAAACCAAAAGGAGATGAAATGTTGACTGAATATGATC